AGTCACCAAGCCCCGCCCACCTGGACCCACCATCCAAACCTTGCAGGATTTGGTTTCTCTGAGTGTTTTTACCTGAAATCTGCTTTATTTTTATTGGATCACTCAGAAAACAGTCAGCCAATCAGAAGAGAGGCTCAGAGCCTCCTCTCTTCTGATTGGCTCACCGACCTGTTGTTACTAGAGCTCCAGAGAGAAGCCTGAGAGAGGAGATGTAAAACTACACTGAGATGGTTTAAATATATCTTCTGATGGATCAACACTTGAAATAAAACACAGGGGAAGTGTAATTTCATGATGCACAATAAGCTCAGACTTATGTAGGATGGCCTAACAAATATATGGTGCGGACGGGGGAGGCAGTTTCTGCCCTGGGCCCCAGAGAGACTGGTGCCAGTCCTGCACATATTGATTCTAAGATCTCTTTTAAAGCATTTATTTCTTTGTTTTTTTTTTATCTGCTAGTTTCTGCTGCACAGGCACAATTCATCTAATCTTAACTGCTGTACAGAAACATATCCTGGAGACTGATGTAGATGTAGTAATCTGTGTCCCCCAAAAGACCTGCACCCCTCCCCCCCCTGTCAAAATCCCTTTAAGGAGGAACTAAAAAAAGGCCCTGTGCACTGCAGATATGTTGTTATTGCACATCCACAGCAGCTCGCTGATACGACCGCTTGGAGGAAAAGTAAGGAATATCTGCAGAGAGAAGCGCCAGCTCTGACCTCACTGACACCAGGTCTGTGTGCGTACATGTGACACAGACGCAGCCGGCTGAACTCTTCCACCGTTTCCAATGTCGGACAGAGGAAACCTTGCATCACCGATGACGCCCGGGCGAGACGGTCAAACACGAACACACACTCAGCTGACGGCTGATGCATCGCACGGACTCGCGACTGTGACCCGCGCCGAACCTCGCAACAACGGCCCCGTCATCCAGCGTCAGCCCGGCACTTCCTCCAGTCCGGTCTCCTGCCCTCCCACACTGTCAGGAGCTGTCTCCAAAACCGCCCACACTCCAGTTATGTAAGGGGATAATCCTCTGTAGTCATTAAAATGATGCACGGCACTGGAGGTACACAGGCGCAACACTATTTGATGCCTATGGTGAAATCAGTGCATTAATGCTTGATAATCATAATACCTCACAGCAGATTATACCTCCATATATAAACCCCCCCCCCTCCCACTGCGACCTGGACTGTATCTAAAATGCAGAAGATTATTTGAAGAGCTGCGGCTCCTCCGACACTTTAATGATCCCAGCTTCTCCAGACTCGTTGGCTCTTTCTCAGACATCTCAATCACCTTCTTCTCTGCTAAAGAGAGAGAAGAGAAGAAGAAGAAGAAGAAAAAAAAAAAAACTCATTTCACATGAACACTTGCTGTGTGGCTCCTCCAACAGAAACAAAATGGCAGCCTCTCCATCATCCGGCAAACCATAAGCTTCCCTTTATTTCCCTCCCTCATTAAACTCTGAATAACTCAGCAGAGAGGCAGAAAGACGAGAGAGAGAAGTGATTGAATTCTGGTGGAGGAATAAAAGCCCCTTGAGGTTGCCATTTTGAATGTGTGCCATGTTGAACAGGCTTGATCCAGAGATCCCGGAGACAATGGGGCAGGGAAGAATAGCCTATAGACGGAGCTCCGGACCAGCTGACACACTGTAGATAATGTACCATGGATGTTGTGTCATTGTACTGGGAGGCTGGAGTCACGATGATGACCCACCGCGACCTCGGAGGGAGGTGGGCAGAGGGCGGAGGAAGGAGCCGTGAAAGGGAGGTCAGAGGGAAATCGTGGCACCAGACTTGATATCTCTATTCAAAAGGTGCACTGACAACCTGGTCGCACTGAATGCCGCCCAATTATTTCAATACAGCAGCAATCCTGGGAAAAGGGGGACACGAGAAAAGAGAAATGGGTTTGACATTCAGTCGGCCGGGCTGAGGGAGGTAACAAGTTCACAGCCCTTTCAGGAAACATGGCTGCCTGCTGTGTGATGGATCACGGAGCCTCAGATGGGCCGTCGGGGGTGGGACTCCGGGGAGGAACGCATGGAAACGCGGTCTCCCAGGAAGAAGGGAGTCGTCCCGACAGTTAGACTGATGAGCTCCTGACGGTTGTGATATAAGAGTCTCCACATATGGAGCCACGATCCTGCAGCTGAGAAGCTACGAGGCGTCCGACAACACAAGGACTGATTCTCTACATTTTAATGTGTTTAATCTTAAACATCGAGGTCAGAAAAATGTCCCCAATGAGCCTTTAATTCAAATGAGGCAAAACTAATATGTGGAAAAATAATTCTTATTAAAAAACAAGCTATCTTTGTTCCCCCTGCTTCCTTACCTAAACCATCACAACTAAAAGCCTAAACTCAACCTAAACCTGATTCTAACTCTAAACTTTAAAGTCTAAAGTCTTAACTCTCAAACCGACCTTTAAACTCGTGAGGTCCTGCATTTTGGGAATCACCACAGACCCTACAAGTACAGTAAAACAAACACACACACACACACACACACACACACACACACACACAGAAAAAAATCATATTTTACAATTTCAGTTTTTTCTTTTTCTTTTTCACTGAAACAAAAATGTAAAAATGATGATGATGTGATTTTTGTTGGTGTTTCCTTTACGTCTTGAAAATATGATTTGTTGGCCAACAATGCTTTGAACATTTTACCAAACTGTGCAGCCCAACAGGAAAACTAAACAAACAAAAACAAACTAAAAAAAAAAAAAGGATCCTTAAGTCGAGGTGCATCTAATGGTTTTTATTTGCAGCTTGAACAAAGGTAGAAGATGCAGAATCTTATTTCCAGGGTTAAAAAAATGAACCTTTACACTTAAATCCCATTTTAATATTGACAGTGATGCGAATGCAAGTGCCCTGCTAACATAAACGTGTTAGAAAGAGACGTCAAAAATAGATTAAAAATACTGAAGAACATCAACTTCTTATAAATTACTTTAAATTTCCAACAAAGAAATTTGCCAGACAAAAAAAAATACGCAACAAAAAAGGATCTCTGGTTTCATCAAGTTATCAGAAACAAAGGACGTTTTCTTTAAGTGTTCCTGGTAAATCAATCATCACATGAGGAACCATAAATGATTAAACAGACTTCCTTATTCTCACCAACATCACATTTCAAACAAAGCTTTTTCTCCTCACTGAGGCCTGAACAGTAGAACGGGAGGTAAAACAAGAACTCCAATCCATCCTTAAAGTGTTAACTACAGTGGAGACAGCTCCGTGCATCAAGTGTAGGAAAGTGGGAGAGTGTGGGAGACGCCCACCGTAACCATGACGAGCATGACGATCAGGCAGAGAGGGTCAGCTACAGTATGTCTGGTATGCCAGAGATGACGACAACAGCCATCACTACTGTAAACATGTTGGAGTGCGGCTTATCACTGAAAGAAGAAGAGGAGGAGGCAGGAATGTAACCCTGAGAAAAAACATTCATCATTTTTATCTCCACGAGTTCAGCAAGTGAAATTGTTTACATATTACCAGCCAGTCGACATTTTAATACCATTTTTTAAATATTTCAACGTTCAAACATATTGAGAGGTCATACGGTCGGCTCGTATTGTGTGTACGAGGTAGTACGAAACATCCAGAATCTGTTGCTGCTCTTTGTCAGATATCAGAGTTAACTGGATTTATTTTGTTGCACTGTTGGTTATATAAAATAAAACAGTCATTTGAATGTCTCATTTTAGGATTTAGGAAATTATAATGGACATTTTTACAAAAAATGATTTATCAGAAAAAAACAATTACAGTAAACATTATTATTAATATTATTATTGTCATTATTGTTTTATTATAGGTGACTAGATCTGCTCTCCTCTCCCCTATAGTGCTATAATGTCTGTGGTGTGCCCCACTTCCACAGTCCAGGAATAATAAACCTGTCAACAACGAGTCTCCTGGGGGGCCACTGCTGACACTTACTTGTCAGTGGCAAGGCATGCTGGGATAGCTAATGGGACAGGCCTTCAGGCAGGTGGGGGGGCGGGGGGACAGCCTCAGACAGGTGAGCTGACTGACAGGATTAATCAATAATAACCAAACTGCTTTTGTTGACTCAAAAAAAACATTACACATTATTATTATTATTATTATTGTAAATCCACTCTGATAAAAAGCTTTAATATTATTAGATTTTGTGGGTTTAATTTTCGACCAAGGCAACTTGAATTTGAAAGAATAAACTTCAGGATGAAACATAAAGAAAATGCACATGAAACCAAAGGAGGGAACATCCTCTCTCCTGCGACTCGTCACGTCACGAACCTTCAATCTGCAGTTCTCTCCACAGATACTCGAGAGAAGTTCTGTGACTAATGCTTCCAAAACTCCCCTCACAAAACTTGAAATTTAATCTTCGCACCACCGCCAACACACACACACACACACACACACACACACACACACACACACACACACAGAGACACAGACACACAGAGAGACACACACACACACACACGCACGTGAGTGAGGGCGAACAACCAGCCTACAGTACATCTCCATGATTTCTCCCCTATCGTAACCACGTGTCCCGCGTCCATGGAGCTCGTCCTCCCTCAACACAAACACACACACATACACACACACACACACACACACACACACACGCATGCATGTGAGCGTCCGAGCCAAAGCAGCTAAACACTTTCCATACGCAGAGCTGACAGAGGGGGTGGGGGGGGGGCAGCTGGAGTTTCACTACTTTCTCTCCGCGGTGGGTGACAACAGTCGGATGGTGCTGAGAGGAGATGATGCACGGCGTGTCATTCACTGTGTCACTCAGGCTTCTTACACAATCCCGCACCAGTATACACACTATATTATTCCATCGGGTAAACAAGCAGACGTACATGCACGATGTATAGCAACTAAACAGGAGTTTGGAAGCAGGAACAAACAAGTAAAAGAGAAAGAGTGAGCAGTTGTTTGGTCTTTCCTGGGCACTGACCTGGACAGCATAGCAAGCACAGCGCCGGTTAGCCTCTCATCTTGCTTTTCTTCTCAGATTTCACACTCCAGCTGCCTCCTGTCTGCCTTTTGAAGTTGCTCCCTCCGCTATTTCTGAGGTAAAAGTCGTTGGCAGAGGAGGGAATGAGGGAGAGGAAGAGGGAGATGGGGGGGTGAAGTCTTTTCTCTCATCCTCCTCCTCCTCTTCTTCTTCTTCTTCTTCTTCTTCTTCTTCTTCTTATTTTCTTTTACTTCCCCTTGTATTTAGCACTAGCTGAAAGCTGCACCTCCTCCTGCTCTTCCATAGCAAAAAAAAAAACACTCACTACTGGGAGAGGAGGAGAAAAAGAACATTGGGAGAGAGAGAGAGAGAGAGAGAGAGAGAGAGAGAGAGAGAGAGAGAGAGCAGCAGCAGCAGCAACAAAAGTCTGCTCAGTCACCTTGTCTCCCTCCTGTTCAAATTTAGAGGCTGGATTTCAGGCTGCAAGGCAAACTCTACTGGGCATGCCCACAACCGAGAGGCACACTTTGTAATGAACACTCACTTCCTCTCTTGTTCTTGTGGCTCTCCCTCCCTCCTCCCCTCACGGCTCTTTCTCTCCCCTCCCTTCCCTCTCACCCCCCCCCCGTCCTTACAGGTCTCAGTACAGCGGGGATTAGAAATGCTGCTCAGACCTAAGTCCACTTGGCTCCAAGGAGCAACGCTTTGTAAACACAACAGGCTGAAAAGCAGGATACAGGAAAGGCAACAAAATATTTTAAGATTGTTAAAATGCAATTTTAATTTAAATATCATTTCGATCACAAACTTGCTCAAACTGCCAAAAGTAGCAGTGTTGGTAGTTCGGTTTGCAGCCATGTGCGTTTTAGGTGACTGTCTAGACTTCAGTGATGTAACATTTAATCCAAAATTAATGGACATGTCACTAGAAATGGCGAGGCAATCAATTCTGATAATGAAATGTGCTCATGTGAAAAATTTCCTGCAACACAAGATAAAAACAATATTATGTGGATCTACGTGGCGTCCTATTTAAAGTCCGCCTGGTGCTGCTCTGCCTCATCACTGATCCCACTGACATACAAAAAAAAATAAAATAATTCAAGCAACCAAGTATTGTTTTCTCTGTTTTCTCTTTGCACGGCGACGTGTGACGTATTTGTTTAGCGAGTCAGCCTCGTGTCTGTGCTATCTCGGGCTCCCCACGCTGACCCAGATTCTCCCCAGCACACTATCAGGACACTATGTATGAAAACCAGGCTATGGAATGAGGACAGCAAGTTCAGAGAGCGACAGACAGCGAGAGGACGAGATACAGGCAGTGAAAGTTGCCCTGGCATCTGTAATGTGCTGCTCAGTAAAAAAAAAAAAAAAGAAAAAAAGGAAAACGGTAATAAGAGACACAGGATGATTCATATTCAGAGAAATGCTCTGCAACAGAGTAAAGCCTCCAAATTCAGGGCTTGATGGATAAAAGTTAATTATAATCACAAAAATAATTTGGTCGCCAGAGCAGCTGCTCAGACCTGGAGATTCGTGTTGAGACAACAACATAATCCTGTAGACATCCTGAGCAGAGAGACATCCATCTGGACCGTCCAAAGGGTGGAGATAGGGGCCAGGTCAAGGAGGAAGAGGTCCAGACGGCTGGAGGCTTGACCCCGAGAGGTCAGAGGTCATGGGAAACAGCGGGTCAATATGAAGATGAGAGGTCAATGCCACCGCTGGCCGAGCCAGAGCCGCATGTGTCCGTGTCGCGGAGGTTGATGGAGTGACGGGGGGAGTGGGAGGGAGGGGGGGGGAGTGGGGAGGAAAGTGTAAAGAGGTCAAAATTAAAAGTCGAACAAAGGAGGAGACGGTTCCACTGGAGCTGAAGGGAGTCACCGTCAGGCTTCACTCAGAGGGATCGTCAGTGTTGATTTAACTGTGGGAGAGTAAACATGGAACAAATGGCACGTCCACAGAGTTTGTTAGGCAGGAAGTGATTAGTATGCCTACAACAAGGTAGTCTGTACAATGTGGCGTCCGACATCTAAAGGCAAAAGTGTTTATACCTCCACACTTGAGGCGGGAAAAAAGCCTGACGTCAGAACCTCTTCCTGGCTGCGTGCCACCGCCTCTGATCTCTTACCAGAACTTTGTGTTTTTGTGTCTTTGTAGTCTTGAGGGAATGAAAAAGGGCGCACATTTTCCCACTGTCTCTCCTTGATGGTGTCCGTGGTACTCAGGCCTTTATGTTTCTGCAAAGATACATACCGATGTCTGTGGATCTACGGTACATTTGTTGCAAGGCGTTATGGGTAACCATAGGTCGGAGGTTGGAAAAGTAACTGACAAGAAAGCTTCCCACATCTCAAGAATGTGTCGTGTTGGCGTGGCGCTTCAAACGAACAACTTCAACTTCCTCTCGATGGTCAAGTTCAGTACGGATACGTTAACGTTACACCCAAAACAAGTATGTAAGAAAACAGCCACACCAATGGGTCCAAATGACCGCCACGCTCAAGTTCTTCACGGGTCCACTTGGTTCCGAATGACCAAGACTTGACCCAGGACCCAGGACAGACTACATTCCTTACAATCCAGTTGGGGAGGGTCCCGGCTGAGGGTTTAATACCCCAGGAGATCAGAGTGGACTGGCCATCAGATTCGATCATGTTGCACATCACACTCATGCGATATTCCTGCTGTTTTGGACAAAGGATCTTTAATTGATCCTCATGATGCTGCTGCAAAGGTTGATGTCGGTTTTAAAACAAATGACTGTTCTTGGGTTTCATCTTTGTTTAATTGATACACATTGAATCCAGGTGGGTTTTCCACAGGTCCCTTTCGGATCGGACCCTCTTGGACTCGAGCAGACGTCTAGTTCTGGAGTTCAGACAGTGTTAAACAGCCTTTCAGACATCCAGTACTTCAGTTAACTACAAAGAACAGGTCCAGATAAATCAACATTTGTCAGAAAGTGTGTTATGTGCTTGCTGGTAAGACTGGAGCATGGCTGCTTCCTGTCAGGCGGCTCCACTGTCGGGAACAAAACAGACAAATTGGCCTTGGCCGTGTCAGAACCATGTGAGCCTACGGCTGCAGACCACACTGGCCTGCTCCTCTTAGTTCAATACTGACTCATTAGCCTTCTCATCCCGGCCTCTGAGGACCTGTGACCCCGGCTATTGTCTGGCTCGGGCCTATCCTGATGAGAGCCTCGGCACTGAACAAAGCCTTGTCATTAACTCTGGCGTGGCTGCCCCCTCAGCCACAACGTGCAGCCCCCGGGAGCCCGTCTGGGATGAAATGAAGTGGGTCAGACAAACACGACGCACCGTTCATCAACTTTAACCCCTCTGACGACCACCACCCGGCCGACCTGCCGTCTCAAGAGGGCGGGGAATGACACGCTGTTTACAGGCAATAGACGAACAGTGTTCATCCACCTGCTCCTGTGCAAACACAGATGTGTGAGGTGTATTGGTGAACTGCAGCGAGCCAACGCTAAGTGCATAGGGAGGGGTGGTGGAAAGCAATAACGGTGGCGAGGCAGCTGTTTTGTTTTCTCATTCTCTCAGTCAATAAACCAATAACAAGTAGCTAAAGAACACACAGACATGTTGAACTTGCTAAGCAGTGTGGTGCCTGTATGTGAGTATGATGCCGCCGTCTATTGATCCGGACTTACTGATGGAGAATAAGAAATGAATCCATGTTGAGAATTAGTTCACTGTGATCTGATTTATAATGGGATATGGAAGTATAAAGCAATCAAAATCTATCAAAATATTTCAGATCATGGCAGACAGCACGTCTTCCAGAAGTAGGATATCCATTAAAACCTCCATCACCACATCTATAAAATAATACTGTTTAATGTAGTTGTACAATCTATGGATTTCAGAGACTCGTCATTTAATTAAATTAATTATCTGCGGATTGAATAACCAACAAAAACTAAATGGAGAAAGGACAAAGAGCACGGACATCGTCCAGATTTGACTTATTGTGAGTGGACATGAAATTCACAATCCCTCTTTCACACACTTTTCTATTGACAAAACAATTAATTGATTTTGCAAAAGTTTCAATCCGGTGTTGCCAGGATTTGAAGGACGTGGTTATAAGCTATCATATTGACAAAACACTCAAAGCATCGTTAGCAACAAATGTGGGAACACCTCCTTCTTTAACCTCGGCAGCCTTTCATAACAACACAAAAGATAATATATCATAAATAACAAATAACACAAGATCTGTATCAAGACGTGTGATATGGACTCATCAGCCGAGGCGGTGGACGTTGAATTAGAGCAGTGACTTGAGTAAAACATGTTGCAGGCTGCTGAGACAGGATGGTGAGACGTGGTGCTTAAGATTTCCCTCCTGTGCTTTTTTGGTGGCTGTTTAACAGCCAGTGCATGTAGAGTAAAGCCTCACATGCAGCACTAGCGCCACTCTTTGGACAAAAGTCTTACTGCAGTCAGTCTGTTGAGAGAATAACTTTCAAGATCCTTTAGTGAATGTGTTTGTGTGTCGCAGAAACAGCCCTTCTTTCATAGCAGGCATCGTAACACTGTCCTGACTCCTTACCAAGCACTATTCACACTGGAAAAGTGAGAAAATTAAGAAGTCAGTATGTAAACTAAATATTTTGAGTGAGATCTTCCTACACTCTTGCAAAGCAGGAATGAAACTGAGAGAGCCACTTGCAGCTGCAGACAATTTAACAATTGCAGATGGTGGTGAAACAGCTCGAGGAAGAACAGTAAAAGCAAAAATAGCATTATATTTTCAGAAAACATTGAGCTTTTCTGTGAAGTTTAACTGCAAAAACAGTAATCTATGACATAAACAGCTTTGGACATTTAAGTGCACAAAAAGCACAGGGGTAATTAACGCTTAATTGGTTCCATTTAGAGTTCCCACAAGCCACTGCAATGAGGCAGTGTTAGAGGTGTTCAGTGAATGTACAAACAAATCTTTAGAACAAATATTAAACATCAATATAGCAGCAAATAACTATTTTCTATGTAAAGTTATAGTGGAGTAATGGCGTCCTGAGCAGTGAACGAAGCCACGCCCCCTCTGTATTTGTTGTAATCTGAGCTTCTCAGTTATTTGTTTTGGTAGCCGATCGGTTGGCGTGCATGTTAGTGCATGTGAGTCCCTGTCTGTTAAACCGTTGGCCCTCCCTACCTTTATAAACACACCACAGGTGAGACGGCACAGTGCAGTGTGCAGCATTCAGGTGAAAGTGACCCTCCAGAATTTCTTCCACTGAAGAAGAAACCATGTTTTT